AGGTAAGTCATGGACCCGAAGTAATTCAATGTGGATGTCAATTATTTGAACATTCTGTAATTAAACCCAGACTTTTCTGATAGCTGTGGCTGTCTCCACATCGTTTTCAAGTGTTTGACCTTGAATAATATTTACTGAACTGGATGTCCACGGCCATAATATCACACAACATATTTTGGAGTCGTGGAAAGATGAGCTCACCAAAGGCACACACAACCCACAGCGTGACCCACAGACAGTGACTGATGTCAGCCCAGACAAACAATCTGATTTTCATACACCCTAAAAATGTTCTCTGCTTGCATGGACATTCAGAGATGTTTTTGACAAAGTAAGTCATCAGTTTTCCTGCCCTCACCAGTCATCTTTACAGTGGCATTTCCCAAAGATGTGTTCTCAGCTGAGATTCACCCATTAGTCATGTTGTTGATTCAGCCAGGCTTCCCAAAGCCTGGCCTGTATCTCCTATCAGTTTCTTCCTTGTTCATCCTTTTCTTTGAATTATTGCTGATCTAACTCTGTATTAAAGTAATTCTGTGCACATAGAGTGTATTTTATGCTAACAAATACATTTGCTTATTTTGCTAAAGACCCTCAGGAATAATCTTTAATTTAAAAAAAATGTTGCATTAAAATTGTAGTTCCCACTGAAAACTGGGACTGTCCCGACAGACCATTAAATTACATGAGATTTAGGTACTATAGGATCCTCCCCTTAGCATGGGAAATGCAAAAAGAAGTCTTAATTAGTTTCAGCCCAGTTCAAAATGAGACTCACTACTACACCAGCTCCATAGTGTTGTTTTCAGAATAAAAAACTGTGAAAATCAGAGCTGGGGACCTCAAAGTCAGTGAAGCCATTCTTGAAGATTTAATCATTGCATATATTTGGAACACTGACATTTTTAGTCTTATGAGTATTGTGAGAATCACGACTTTAGTCGTGCTTAAATGCAAACCTAATAGAAATATTCCTTAAAAACTTGAAGTCATGAAGCTAATAGATTTAGGCTTGGGAAGACAGGGATTCTGTTTGGTTTTCTTTTTAAAAAACAGAGTCATCCCAGAAACAACTTTTCCCCTTTAATTTAATAAGAAAATGGATACATTTATTGAAAATACTATGTTGAGAAAAATACTGTTCCAATATTTTAATCCTCCTTATTCTCTGTTCTATTCTGTTTTCCATGGAGCACAGTCTGCATAAAGAAATTCAGCTGCAGAAACCATTGTTTGAAGTGGGCAGCTGAGACTTTCTGACAAATTGCAAATAACTAACTTGAAAAAAGTGCTCCCTGGTATCTTCCTCTGAATGAAAAAGAACACATCTCTCCTGACATGTGTTCTTGCTATCTGCTGATCTCAGCATTTAAGAATGTTTCAGAGTAGGACAGGACTGTATGAAGGGAACTTGGATGAGTAAATCCTCTTGTGGCTCTTTAGGAAGTTATAATCTGCAAAAGGACTTCACTTAGGCAAAAAGGGAAAATTAAAACTCCCTATTGCACGCAGCTTGCTATCTGATTTTTCCCCTCATGTGTAGCCAGATTTTTCTGAGGGAAAAACTTTAATGATAATTGCTTTTTTCCATAGCAGAGCAAGGATTTTTTGAACAGATGCTGACTGATTCCGTTCTGTGCAATTGGACTGGTGGCTCTCAGAGAACTTGTTCAGGGCTGCCAAGTTCTGAAATGTTTGAGGTACAAGCAGAGTGTGAATAAAGCTTTTATTGCTTTGAACAAGACATCTCGGCTCAAAATTCCCTTGCTTACATTTGTGTGGATATTAATGACCTGTTAGTTAAATGTGGATATAAAAATGTCAGATGGACTGAAACAGAACAAATCATATTTCTTCTTAATTTTGCCCTTTAAATGTTTTATGGTTACTATCACTGGGCTTCCCTCCTCTTCTCATGTTTTGTGTTTACTGGCTGTTACATGGTCACCTTTTAAATACAAATACAGCCACAAATCAGGGGCTGCTTTTATTGGCATTTATATCAACAGAATTGTCTCTGTTTTCATAGATGAGAGAATCATTTCTAAATGGGATGAGTGAGGAACTCCTTATATTCTTCTTTATATTTAAGATGATATCTCTGAAAAATAGGAGGTTTCTCAGGGTGTAAAATCTTTCAGATATGCTAGGAGAAGCTTCAATTAATCCTCTTGAAATCTGTCTCAAGTCTTTAAATGCTATTGTTCTATTTTCAAATTCTAGATTATACTTTTATATTATATATACTTTATATACTTTTATATAACTTTTATACTTTTATGTTTGCCAGTCTTTTTTTTCTAAAGATAGTTTTATCACTTAATTTGATAATGATTAAAAAATTAGTGATATGACCAGTTTTAAATTTTTCCTCTATTCTTTTTCCCTTCTCTCAATGTGGTTTCATAAGTGAAGACAAGTGGGAAAGGCAAATATGGAAGAATTTTTTGTTTCAGAAAGGAAATGGATGTGTTTAAATACATTGAAAGAGAAAATGAAGTTTCACTATTTTATATAAAATGACTGTATCATTTTCAACCACACCTAGCTACCAATACTTATTCATAATATTACTTAAGTAATTACACAGCATTTAAGGAATGATAACAATGCTAGAAATTGCACAGTGAATTCCAAGGTTGCTCCCTTTGTGGTGCTGCAGCACCAGCCTGATGTGCACAAGATCCTTGGCAGTGATGCTGAGCCACTTCAGTCTTACAACAGCATCATATTTTGCTCTTCTTGTCACTGTGGATTCCAAAGGCTGTAAAATTCTCCTGTGTTTCTCATCCTTCTCATAATATTGTTGTGTGATACTCTAATGGTGTAAGAGTTGTGTCAGCGCCCTGTGAGCCAACATCTGGAAAAGATGAATGCTTCGTGGGGCACAGGATGGCACAGATAGAGACCACTGATACATCTGGAAAGGGCAAAACCTCTCAGCTGTGCCCTGGTAGAGTGGGTGGCTGCCAGGGGAAGGCTGGGAATCTCTCAGGATCCTTCAGACAGACTCCTGGCACACATACAATGGCTGAACCTATAGTATGACCAGGAACCTAAATGCTCCATGTGAAAAGGATGTGGAATATTGCTTTCCTGGCTTTTGTTTAGTTACAATCTGTTAGTGACAGTCCAGCCTGTAAAAAGTGACAGCTACATCTGTGTGGATAAATTACCCATCTGAAATAGATCTGAAAAAAAATAGTTTGCACTTAATTGCATGTCTCACATCTCATTTGATTTATTTATGTGCACACTAGCTCTGTGGCACATGGCAGCAGTCACAGGGAGGATGTCTTGTTACATGTGACATGAGTGATATAAAGTATTTTTCCATGCTGACATGGTTCATCTCCTCAGACTTAAGGAGCTCACTTAGCAAGCCATCTGCATTTCTGCATTTTTTCACCTTTCCTTTATTCTCTTGTAGTGGTAGCATCAATTAATTATTCAACTCCACTTCAAACCCAAATGTTTTAAATGCACATCTTGTGGGACAATTTATGCAAAAAGCAATTGTGCCTGATTATCACGTATTTTCCACAGAATGTAGAAAAGCTCACTAAAAGTCAAGAAGGACTTTAGCTTTTCATTACTACTATTTTCTGGACACTTTCTTTTTTTTATTACTATAATAACTGGCAACGCTTATCAAGCTGCTTTGACTCTCCTGTTTCTGCTAAGAGCTGGGACTGTTCAGGCTGGAGAAAAGTGCAGAAGACACAAGTAGAAGTGATGCTGTATTATTAATTTTTTTTCCAGAATGCCTGCAGCTATGATTTTTCACTGAGTGAAGATTTTTGCCCCAAAGGAATGAAGAGTAGGCAGATGCTCAGAGAACAAGTGATATGGATCTAGGAAGATATTAAGACCTGCCGCTTGTGACAAACTAAAATCTTTTGCAAACAGAATTACAATTAGCTGTGTTCTGATGGGATTTCTGAGGACTCAGAGGATTCTTGGTGGTTCAGAAAGAGAACTTTAACTTCTCCTAATATGCCTCGTTTTCTGTCAGCTATGCAGAGGCAATGGAAAACATTTGTCAAAACAGATGGCAGGTTTAGCCCCCCGCCACTGAATACAAATGGGAAGTTCAAGGTCCAGTTAATGGCTGCTGAGCCAAGAAACATTTGGAAACTTAGTTTAGCATTGAATAGCCCCCAAAGAATACACTGTTACAATTCCAGGACGCCGTGGCGATGGCCAAACTCGGAATGCTGTGAGCAGTCGTTTCACAGCTCGTGCTTCCAGCCAGAGCGAAGAACTGCTGAGGTGCACAGAAAGTGAGATGTAGCAGCTAACATGGTTTTCAGGATTTTTGAGAAGACATGTTTGACAGCTGCTTCAGCCCAGCAGAACATTTCTTTGCCCAGTGCTTCCTGATATCTTCCTGCCACTTAGTTGCTTTTCCTACACTAAAAGAAATATTATCTGAAAAGCAGTCATGTGCATAAAATATACAAGGAGACAAAATGTGAAAATCTCTGGTTTTTCTATTAAATCATACTGGCATGCTACACTGAAGTAAGGTTCACAGAATCTCTAGGTGAATTGTGGAAACTATGATCTGTGGAGCTGAAAGGTTTTAATTGCCGGTGGCAACTACTGAAAGCAAAACAAAGTCACAGAGATGTTTTACATGCATCCAGTGAAACAAATGCAGATTAATAATGAAAAAGGTTCTTGCTATGACTGAAACAATTTACTGTCAGAGGTAACTTGACTGAGTTTGGAATAAGAACATAGAGAAAGCTCCTACAAAGTGTTTTTAATCTGATCTGTGCTTTATACAGACCCTAATCAAGATCCTAATAATTTAATCATATAACAGATTAGAAAGGTAGATTTTTGCTATGGAGTGGGTACTCATTGCAGTGCAGTCAGTGCAAGGTTAAACTGCACCGTGTCTGTCTCTACCTTTGCCTCCCTTGTCTGTACATCAGGAATTAAGCATTTAATTCAAAGACCAGAAGTGTAGCACTGTTAAAAACACAACTGACCTCTCAGTCTTGCACACAAGTCCCTGTCACCAGGTTCAGAGTGTTTCTTCCCAGTCGAGTCTTGCTGAGCTTCCTTCTTCTTTCTTCACACTGAGGGGAATGTACAGCAGCAACTTAAATTCAACAGCAAGGGCTAAAGGATAACTTTTGTGGCTGATAATTGTCAGATTAGCCATGTTTGTTTTCCACAGTTTCACAGGAATAACTTCCTAAGGATTAGTTAGGGCTACCTGACTATTGCACTATTTTTCCTTCTAGAACTTCATGAACCTACGGGGTGGATGTCATGAGTGGAAGCCAAGTTGCTGTTAACTGTATCTTAAGGTAAGCTGTTAAACACCCAGCGTTATTTTTTTTTCTGTATTTGGGGATGTAAAGAAGCTTTGATGTGCATTATACCCCGAGTAATTTGCAAGTGAGTATGGAACAATGGCAGGTCCTTAATTTCTATACCAGTGGTTTCAGACTGGACCTGGAGACCAAATTAAATAATTCAAATCCAGATAATCTTATAAAGATGTATAATTTTTCCCCCTTCAAAACCCTTGTGACCTTTATGCAACAAATTTGGCCAATATGTCACCATTGCTTCCCACACAGCAGAACTGGGAGATCCGTGAAGAAAGCTGTTAAGTGTTCCCTTAGGATTTCGGCACTGATGATCAGTGCAGCAGAAGCAGCAGGCAGATGTTAACACACCTCAGTTGTCAGGAAGATTCAATTTTTTAAAAGGCTGTGCGTTCCAAATACCTGTGGCAGATGCACAGTGAAGCCCACAGAGCTGTGGGAGATAATCACTAAATACTGAGCTCTTGGATCTTCCTGACAGATAACAGCTTGCTGTAGTGGCTGTCTCCAGAGGGCTGCTGTTATTTGGAAGCAACACATTTCAGTGCCTCTTTTCTTGACAGTACCTGGGATTAATTTAGACTACTGTTGTCTAAAGATCCCTGTGGACAAGGATCTATCTTGAAGGAAATGGCTGCAGAGATCCAAAGTGAGTGGCGAAGAATTGTGGTTGCCAAATTTGTTTACATAGATGAGGTTTTTAGCTGAGACTTTCACTGGGTGGTTTGACACTAAAAAAAGTCATTCGTGGATTGAAGCACTGGAAAACAGTATAAGGGAATAAAAATGGGTGTACAGAACTAGAAAACAACTCCTTTAACTATATCGATCACTTAAAATAGAAAAAAAAAAATCATTAAATGAACTGCATTTTCCCAAGTCTGACGAAGGAACACGGCATTTCTTGTTGGATTTGTGACTGTGTTCAGTACTGTGAGAACAAAAGAAATGCTCTTTTCCCTTAATACTTCCATAAACCTAAGTTCTGCCACTTTAATCTACCGGTGCCAATAATGCAGCATTTTATTTCCTGATTTGTTGTGACTATTAAACCTATGAGCTTAGATAATTTCATTAAAAGACAATTAAAATTTAACAACTTGCCTAGTTATCCTCCTAGTCAAATTTGTCCTCATTTGAAAGGGCTCTTTTCTAATTTTGACTTATTAAATTCTGTGAGAAAGATCAAAGGTGCCCTCCTGTTCCTTATTACAGAGGATCAATGGATCAGATAATTCAAGGTTTGATAAAATATCTCAGTGAATTCCACTGTATGCAGTAATTATAATGTTATTAGGCCATTTTACATAAGAGTTAAACTTCCAGTCCTTTTGTAAACAGCATCAACACATGCTAAACAAGTACCTCTTTCCTGAGGAACATGGTTCTGTTTTTGTTTCGAATTTGAAAACGTACCATGTCCTTTTCAGTTGCTAAGCTGGGTGATTTACTAAGTGTTCTCGATGGATTGTATTGGCATCCCATCAGGACTGCATTCTAGCCCTCCTCCCTAAAATACAGGCAGTTCTAAGAAAGCAGCACTATTCTTGTGAAAACAGCATTTATATATTTCTCTTGCATGTTTATCCTCAGCATCATCTTACTGGGAACATGTTTAACCTGCCAAAAGCTCTTCTGAACTCTGACTGCAAACGGTTCCAAAGTCCAAATTTCTCATGCAAATGCCATATGACCTCAGGTAGGTAGAGAACTCCAGGTTCTCTGAGCACATTATCTGCAACCAACCTTACACTTTTCTGAGCCTTTTGGCTGCTGCATACTCAAAGCATGAATCTGTTTACTTATTGCCCTTGTCATCTAGTCAGACTGCATAGCTTTGATCCAGGCAGTTTGCTTTCAGTCTTACCTCGGGATTCACAACCTCATGGTGCTGAGAAGTCTGACCCAGGCGCCTTATCCTGAAAACTTGGGGCTTTTTGTTTGTTTCATTGACTCCCATGGCTTGCAAACGATCCAGCTTTTGTTCAGTCGCTGTTCTGAAGGCTGGTGCATGGCTCTGCACGGCTTGGGCTTTCCTTAATCAACATATGGACTATAATATATTGTTTGTTTTGAGTCTGATGTCATGGGAAAAAAGTGTTGCTTCAGTCAGTATGGAAACTTGCCCAGATTCGTTAGAGTTGTTTCTTCCTTGACTGTAGTATCTGCTTGAAACTTTTCACTTGCCTTCTAATGGTTATTCCTGCTCATCCACAGGCTGTTTCCAGTCCAAATATAGTGCTACTTGATTGAAAAAATCCAAGAAGCAGTTCTCTTTTTGGCACATGTTTAGCAATCCCAGCTAAATCCCTCCTGAAATGCCATGGTCCAGTTTGTCATAGAAGGTCACAGGCTTGCTGAGGCTGTCCCTCCGGACATTTCAGCGACTTCTGTGTCTGCACAGCTACAAAAACTCGGCTAAAATCTGGAATGTTTTTCAAACCCTTTCTTCCCCTCCCTCCGAAGTGGCTGTGAGGAAGCAGTGACCGAGGGTATCCTCCTGAAACTCCTATTGACCCTCAATACGGAATGTGCAGCTCAGGGCTGCATCGGGGTCCTGTGTTTGGGGTTTGTTTTTTGTACTGAGGGAGCCTTTCAGATGATGTTTGGGAATGATTTTAAAAGAACAGCTAAAGTGATTTTATTTGCTTATCTGCATAACTAAAGGATATTAGTCAGGGCAAACTAATGTAACTCCAATGATATTAATAGAGCTGAGTTAGAACAACTGGAGAATAAGCCCTTAAATTCTAGGGAAATTATTATTGTGCAGGCTGAGTTTCAAAGGCTCTAATGCTGTCTAATAATGTTAGGACTCTCTAATACCCAAGTAATTCCTAATTAGCATTTCCTTCCCTGTCAACTCCTCTGTTATGCCTTTTTTGTTGCTGTCAGAGTTTCATTGTAAGAAAACAAGAACTGTGTTCAAGATAAGCCTGCCCTGAGCTGTGCCTACACACGTGTGGTACCTGCCCAGGACAAGAGGCTCAGCAGGCTCAGGGCTTGCACACCCCCTTTGAAACACTCAGAAAATCAAAATGTGTTTCTGCTTTGTAAATACCACCTGGGATTTTTCTGTAGCTTCTAACATAGCTGATTAGCAATGGATTTTCCTGGGGACAAAGATACCATTCTAACTTGAGGGTTGTCTCACTGCCAGATTTCAAGCTCCTCTTATAAATCACTATAGCTCTTCAGAAAACAGATGAAAAATTATGAAAGTTGGCGAAACCACCCCTCAGTGAGTTTGTTCCAAAAATGGCTGAACTATTTTCTACCAAACTTAAAAAACCCCCCTCAAAAACTAAATAAAAATTACCAGGTCAAAGAAGAAGAAATTTCAACCTGGGTACTTGAAATTCGGCTTTATAACTTTTCACACATTATGGAGTTAGGGCTTTCTCCATGTCATCTGGCTAACCACTCCAATTTTTGTCTGCATTAGAAACTTTATACAATAATATGAGGAACTACATGTATGGAGATCTTTGTTTGGTTTTACCTGGATTTGGAGGATCTTCTGAATACTATTGAAACAGTGAAAAAGGTCCAAGATCCCTGCTTTTCTCAGGCAGAGAGGACAAGTGTGTAACTCCACCAAAATAAAGAAATGCTTAAATTATTAAAATATTTCATATTCTATTATCTAAGGCACTTTGGATTTGTGCTGTGTGGGGAACTAGGTTATAAAACAAATAGAGAGATCTTGTAGAGGTCAGTCTGTCCTGGACACCCTTAAACTGCAATCCAGAAGACAGCAAAATGAATCCATCTACAAACAGACTCGAAATAAACAATTACTTGAATGCAATTTTCCTTTTATCCAGAAGCTGGGACAGTGCTTTTTGTTCCCTTGTCTAACCTATTGCATTTCCAGGCTATCTACCAAGAGAGTTTCAGTTCTCTCCTTGCATAAGATGATGAGAGAGAAACCAGGAGCCAGGCAGAGAATGCACAGACCGTGGTAACACCTTTGCAGCATTAAATGGCTTTAGCTCAGGGAAATGGACCTGGCCCTTGGAAAGACCTCTTGGCAGAGACAAATCTGCAGGTATTCTGATACTTTATGTCCTGAGATTTCTTCTGAGTTACTGTTCTCTATGAAAACAATGTTTTTAAAATAGTGGAGATGATATGCAGGATATTTTTGCTATTTATAATTCCCATTGTTGCAGCTCTCTGGGGATGATTGGGTCGGATGACTTCAGTGGTGTGATAGCTATTGATATAAATAACTTTCCAGAAGATTTCCTTGTGACTTCAGAACAAATTAACCAGCAAGAAAAACATTTCTGAAGGAGTTTAGTTACATAGCCATTTTCTGAAAACCACACTAGGCACTGATCTACATGCAGAAGAGATAAAAACCTTTAAAAGCTAATCTTTAGGTGCTTAGAATTTTCATTAAAAAAATCAATTATCAAACACCTGGGTCCCATTTTCAGGAGTCTTGGGCTCCTCGGTCTCTCAAGTATTTCTGACTATTGTGTTTTCTGAGAAATTTAGAGAAAAGGAAGAAATGCTCACCTAGATTAAAGCAAAAATAAGCTGTATTCATCAGTGATCAGAAACAGGGTATAGTTCAATGAGTTGCTGGGGAAATCTGGCTAAGGGACAGGTAATTATCCAAAAACTCTCCACTTACTTGGAGCATACCTAAAGGTTTGCTGTTGGAAAAGGTCTTTCCTTTGAGATTTCCAGTGTTTCCTGGCTTCAGCCAGGAAAAGAATAGTGGAAGAAGTGCTTCTTACTCTATTTTGGTACTTCTGATCCCTGAAGAAGGGCGGTAGAGACACAGTGTGTCTTGAAAATAAACTAACAAAGTTCTAGTTGCTCTTTCATATGAGTCCATTTCACTCCATGTTTTGGCTGCAATTTTGAATCACGTTTTTGTGGACTAGTGATGACAAAGGACTAAAGATTTCAGGTCTAAATAGCTGAAGGTGAGCCTTCTTATCATTCTTTCCCTTTCTGAGTTCACACACCCAAATGCTTCAACTTTTTGTGCCACTGCATGTCTATGTGTACAAATACAATTGGATAATCTCCTTAGCTTACCTGTGAAAAATGGAATTCTATTAGATCTATTTGGTAATCGATTGAGAGACTTTGAAGAATCTGCCTCTACAATTTGATTATTTAATCAGAGGCAACTTCCTTAAGTTAGCAACAGAAAATGCTGAAATCTTTGAGGGGCTTTCACTCTTTACAATTGTCAGTTATTTGATTTAAGACAGAAGCTGCTTCTGTCCATAGCAGGTCTACAGAGGGAATCCTATAAAGATCTGCTTGATTTATTGAAAAGACAGATACTATATGGAAGCAAAGCACTCAAAGGTTGGTTTTTTGTTTTGGTTTTTTTTTGTTTTTTTTTTTTTGAGGTAACTGCAGCTCTTTCCTTTAGCAGGATGAAGCTAGCTCAATTTTATGCCAAAGAAACGCTCATCATGGCATGTCCTGTCATTTGTTCCATGGAATCATAAGTGTTCCTCAGCTCAGCAGTGCTCCATGCACCTAGAAACTTCCCTCTCTGAGTGACAGCCCTGTTTTTCTTGGAGAATATTTGAGAAGTGTTACAGAGCCATCTAAAATTGGAAACCTCCAGAGAAAGAGCAAATCCCTTGTTCAAGGAAATATGAATATATTTGAAATGTAGTAAAACCTCGGAGACTTGCTGAAGTCACCTAATCAGTCAGCAGGGCTTCAGAGTGGGAACAAGGCTGGCACCAGGCACTCCCTGGTGCCAAGTGACTCCAGTCCTTCCCTGTCATGGTAAAATTGATGTGTTGCTTAAGGTAAATGAACTGCAGTGAGCCTTTCTGGGAAAAAGGAAAAAAAGAGGAATTGTTCTTAACCCACTTGCATAATGCAAATGTAGAGTATTAATATGTTTTTATCATTAAATCATGCTGAATTGCACCACCTTACTGTAGATGGTGATGACCAATAACAAGTGCTCTGGAAAGTATAGGAAATGCAGTTGTAGGATCACATGCAACAAATTCCCCATAGGGGAATGTTCCCCTTAATTAGAGATTTCATCGTTTGGAATTATAGACTTGCATTTTTTCAAGGCTCTTTTCTAATTTCCAGTTTAATCTAGATGACATTGCTAGCCTTGATAAAAACTCTGGGAGATGCAATCATATCTGGAGGAAAAGGGGAAGTTTCATTTTGTGAGACATTATACATGCTAAAAGATAATTCTTGGGCAAACTGATTATCATACAAGTAGCTCACAAAAGTAAAAGATATCCTGTGTAATATTCCAAAAGGAGCAATTTGATCAAATCTGTTCCCAAACTGAAAAGCTGCTTTAGTTCTGGCCTAGTTTTCTAAAAACAAGTTCCTCCCTGATGTTTCTTAAGACCCAGATAAAGAAGCATGTGCCTAAAAAAAGAGTTTATCAGTATTAATTTTCAGCTCTACTCATTCCACCAGTAAATGTGTAAGTGCAGTGTTGTTTCCTCCATTTTTTGGTCTTCACTTATCTGCAGACTTTGGATGAGCTGGAGCATTCACTGTCCATGTAAAACCCAGGGCTGAGGTTATTTCAGAATTTTTCTGGTGTAATGAGCTCGGAAGCTCTGCATTTCCCCCCCTCTATAATATGTATTAATATGGGTATCTTTACCGAGGGAGAAGGTTCTCATGGGAATATACAATAAACAAGCATGAATCTCCCTTTCTCTTTTGTCACAAAATCCTGTACTTACTCTACCCACAGCTATTTTGACTGTTTCTTAAAATATTCTCTCATTGAAGTCACTGATTAATGCCAATGATTATTATACATTGAGTTTTGTTTAATGAGTTTCTGCTTAGATTTCCTTGAGATGACTAAGCTCTTAAGCAAATCCTCTACCAGGACTTGTTAAACAAAATCACTTTTGCCCATCAAACCAGGCATTAGATGAAGGGACAATACTTATTATTCACCTGAGGCCATCAGGTGCTGCTGTGAGCTAAATCTCTCCAGCAGATCTGTAAAACCATGAGGAGAGACTTGGCCAGTGCATTATGTTCCCTGTCAAATGTCATACTTGGGCATATTTGAGTGGGATTTCTCCACTGAAAGGAAAGGAGGTATTATTCCAAAGAGAACCTGTCTGAAAATACCAGGGAGGAATTTTGTTGTTGCCTCTGGTATTTTTTGAGCAAGCTGATGAGCTGACACTACCAAGTCAGTTCTTTGCTGCAGAGACCTGGCCCTGAGGAAGCTGCCACCTGGCAGAGTGGGGTGTCCCTTCCTCCTCCTTTCCCTGTGCCGCTGCTGCTCCCTGGTGTGTGGGAGAGGTCATGGTAGAAATCCTGAATTCATGAGCCACGTTACATTCCATTTTGCTCATGTTTGCTCTAGGGGGATTGTGATAATGACAGGGAAAATTAATGTTAATTTGCTCTCATCTCTATCCTT